CCCATCAGACTCAGGTATCCAGGTGCAGGTGCTACTTACCTTCTCTGACATCACAGTGATGTCACACAGAGAGCAAGAGTAGGGGAACAATGGAGGAGACTTCCCGTGGAAATCCAGAGCTTTCTCCTTCGACGGCATCATGGAAGAAACCTCAGATCCTCCATCGCGACCAGAACCAGGTTTCAGAAGCGGCTCTTCAGGAGGAGGAAGAGGAACTGAACCGTAATTCTGAACCGGCTGAGAGAAACGGGAAGGACGGGGTTTCTTGTCCCATCCCGCAGAGCCGAAAGAGGGTCGGACCTGCGAGGAAACTGGACCGGAGACGCTGCCTTTCTTACCAAAATCAGAAGGTCCTGGTGTGTAGATGTCGCCTTGAGAGACAAGCGGACCACCGGCTTTCTTGCCGAACTCAGAGGGTCCATGGTTGTAGTCTTTAGGGGAAACTGGACCGGCGACGCTGCCTTTCTTACCAAAACCAAGCAGTGCCGATCCGTGGTTATAGTCTAAAGAAGAAACTGGACTGGCGTATCGGCCCGTCTTACCGTAATCAGAAGGTCCAGATTCGTGTTTGTAGTCTAGAGAGGAAAGTGGAGCGGCGTCTCTGCTCGACTGAACATAATCAGAGGTTCTGTAGTTGTAGTCTTTAGGGGGAAATAGACTGGCATCTCTTCCCGTGTTGCCAAAATCAGAAGGTCTGGAGTCGTAGTCTTGAGAGACAACTGGACCAGCAACTTTCTTGCCGAACTCAGAAGGTCTGGAGTCGTAGTCTAGAGAGGAAACTGGACCTGCATCTCTACCCATCTTACCAAAATCAGAAGGTCCTGGTCCGTAGTTGTAGTCTTGAGAGACAGATGGACCACCGGCCTTCTTGCCGAACTCAGAGGGTCCATGGTTGTAGTCTTTAGGGGGAAATTGACTGGCGTTTCTGCCCGTCTTCCCAGAAGCTCCTGGTTTGAAGTCCACCTGGTAGCTGGAGGACGAGGATGACGATGGTGAGTTGAAGGTGATGGGATTCCCCCAGCGATCCAGTTCCGGTAAAAGATTACCGGGTGTTAAGTGGCTCTGTGGGTACTGGTTGCGGGGAGGATCCCAGTTGCTTGTGGTGGTAGAGAATCTGGGTGGATAAGAAGAAGAGGAAGAGGAGGAAGGAGTATTCGAAGGTCTCACGGTGCCCCTCTTTCCCTTGATCTGCTTGAGGACTTGAGGAAGGGATTCGAGGGTCAGGACGTCTTCTGGAAGTTCAGCAAGAAGAGCGAGGTCTTCTGGTTCCAGTCCACAGCTGTTCAGGATGCTCAGAGCCCCGTCCTGAGACCAGGAGGAACCTCTGGAGGACGAGGGAGGAGGCAGGATGGACTCTGGAGGCGGCCTGTAAAAGTCTGAAGACGACGGGGTGGTGGAAGAGGAGGCGTGGCGTCGGTCTGAAGATCCGTACGGTCCAGGAACGGGTCTGAGATCGGAGTCGGCGGGCGGAGGTCTGTACGGGTAGTTCTGAGACATGATGGGACGAGGAACTGAGGAAAGAAGGTGTCGGGAAGACAAGAGATGTGAAATCTGACCCACAGAAAGAGGTACTGGAGGCTTTTCAAGAACACATACAGCGTATTCTCATCACTGCCAATACTTCAAAAATACAACGTGTGGAGAATCATCATCTGTACCAGATCCTCCACGGCCTCACCTCACCTCCTCTCAGAGAGTTTATCACCATACAGGTAAACAACAGGTGCAACAATCAGAGAACAAGCCACATATTATGTAATTTACATCCCAGTTAAAAACCTGTTATTGAGGATAATCTGTCTCTGTCTGAAGTGAGGACAGAAGGTGTCGGGAAGACAGAGATGTGAAATGTGACCCACAGAAAGAGGGGTTCTGGAGTATTTAGAGAAAGGCTTGTCAAGACCACATCACTGCCCAATACTTCAAAATACAACGTGTGGAGAATCATCATGAAACATGACAGCTGGCCTTCTGTACCAGATGATCCACGGCCTCGCCTCAGAGAGTTTATCACCATACAGGTAAACAACAGGTGCAGTGAGAGGATATTATTCCACTCAGGAGAACGTATCTCAGTCGGTCTAAAAGTTCTGTTTATGCTGATCAACCATGGGACCGAATCCCAGAAACAACCAGAGAACAAGTCGCATAAAAGTTCATTTAAATCCCAATGAAAACCCTGATGGGGATAATCTGTCAGTTATCTTCTTGCTCTCTGATCTCTGTGTTGTTGTTCTTCCTGATTCTATTCTGTTATCTTAAATAAAGGTTGTTTTTAGGGTGACTAGCAGCACCTGTCCCGGGACTACAGATGAAAACTACCTCTTGACTCACTCTGGAGCATTTACAGATGTGTTTATTGATGATGATGATGATGACCCTTCTAAATGAATAGTGTCAGGATGATCCTTTGGTGCCGAGCTGATGCCATGGTGTGTCTCTGCAGCAGTGAGGCAGCTAATGGAGGGGAACTAGAAGGATCCAGGTACATCGGGGTGGACTGATGACTTGTATTAGGTCTCACCACGACCAGTACGTAAACATAATAAAGGGGTGTAATAACATGTTGGATAAATGTGCAATGTAGTGGGTAATGACTTCTACATTTCCAGCTTTGCCATTTGGACTAAATTGTATTTGTTTGTTTTCATACTGACAACAAATAACTATATATAACAGCAAAGAGGATCATCCCTCATTTCAGTGTGACCAGGAGCCGCTGAGAGGATGCTGAACGGCTTTAGGGTCAGGATGCTGAACTCTCTTTCTCCCTCCCTCCCTCCCTCAATCTCTCTCTCTCCTCTCTCCTCCTCTCACTGTGTGACTGCGGGAAACGGTATCTCAAGACGTCTGTATAACACATGTAGACATTTTGACAATAAAGCTGACTTTGACTTAATGCACTAATCACTGTCCCCTGATTAAATGTCTATTTGAGGTGTGTTTGTTTGTCCTTGGCTGGTAACTGTATTCTCTGTGATGTCAGTTTGCTTTGAGTAGTTTGATCTGAAATCTGCTCTACAGATAAAGAGCATTATTATTATTTAGGGCTTCCCCCTGGATTAAAAATGATATTAAGCTATAATACAAAGATGTATAGAGTCAGATTTAACACAAAGTAATGCCTTATTGTTTATTAAATGTAATGTTAAGAGCTGCAGAAGCAGTTTGAAGTTTAAACTGAGGGAAATACATGGAGACACGAAAGTAAGAGACACACAAAGGAAGTGAATATACCTTTTAAACACCTGAAATATAAAGAATGAAGAGTTGTGAAACACGTGGTTTGTTGTAGTCTATAATCAAGGATGAATAGAGGATATCTCATCTTATATCTGTAGTTTTAATACAGATATAACCATAACAGCTTTAGCATCAAAACAGTTAGCATGCGGCTAACCACGGACAGAAATAAAGCGTATTCTCACCTAGAAATAAACCCGGGGATCTGGAGAGATAGGACCGCAGTGTGTTCGTGAAGAAACGAAGTCACAAGTCAAACGTTTAGAGCAGAAAGGTGTAGTTTTAGAGACAATAACCCGCCTGAAGTGGAGCTAATAGCTGCTAGCCGAGAGAAGCTAACGGAGGCTCTTCTTCAACTTCTTCTCTCGGTTTTTGGCGGATTGCAAACAGCTTTAAGGTGCATGCCGCCACCTACTGGACATGAATGTGAATCATCTTATCATTCCATCTCTTAACTCCGAGGTCTGAAACCTTTTTGACCAAAAGAGCTATTTTGCTCCTTTTGCTAACAAAAATTAATTGTCTGGAGCCGCAAAACATATTTCATAGCTTGATAGCTAATAAAGTTGTATTTATTGTTATATCAGACAGAAACTACAGTTTTTTTGCATTTATTAGGCTATTTATTACGTTATATAAAACTGTTAACCTCTAATAAGAAACAAAGAACTCCTATAAGGAGAATTCAAAATAATACAGAGGCCTACTTTAAAATAAATTAAACACAGCACTTGGGGAGTCTGCACATTTGGAGGAAACAAATATATAATTAAAATGGGCCGACTTTGAAATAAATAAAACATATAGCTGCACCCTAAAAAGAGTTAACGGTGGGGTAGGTAAGAATGGAGAAACCAGCTCGAGTGCGCTAGAGTTTGAAAATACACAACCGGAAAAAATCTGCCTCTTCCTTCAGACTTTCTTACAGAGTCCCTCCTCCAACACACACGAACGCGCACATCACCAATGAGGGCACGAGATAAGTTTGTGCACAGATGGAAGGCTGACAGGCAGGTAGGCCATCCAGTTATTTTAGCCGGGCCGGCTCAGATGATTGGTCGTTTTTCCAGTGCTACGGCTTCCACAGATGATATTTTTTATGTATTTATTATCAAAGCATTTAATATATTCATTGCTATCAGGATGTTAAGAGC